CGATAATTAACATGCCTTATCTAAATGTAAATAAAATGCAACAAAATGTTTTAGGGTCGTTAAAAGCATCAGAAAGCCGGGAAACCCAGTCTTACCACCCTCTAAAATGTTGGACTGTCATTTGACGTCATCTGGGGGTAGGATATTATTAAAGAACCGAAGAATGTGGGCCTATTTGCGATTCTAATATTTATAAATTATAATTTTGTTCTTTAATTTTTATTATGACTGTTTAAAAAAAAATTATTAGGTCCGTGGCAGACTTTCGAAACCAAACAGTTTCTGCATGTTTTAGCAACTTGAGAACCTCTTTCGTCTACGGTGCTAGCCTCGGGTTCAAAGACCAGTTGGTACTCAATTAAATATTTGATAAAAATCATGCTGGTCGCCTTTACTTCCATTGACGCTTTCCAGTAACAATTTCAGACTGGGAAGATTCGGAAGCTCGTGTCAATTGACGGGGTGATTACATAGGACAAAGCTTTTTTATTTAACCATTTGGTGACATTGTCTGGACAGACCACTGAGCTGTTTGTTGGGTTGAGTTGAGTTGATTCAAGAACCAACATCGCCGGGCGTTCTTTAAAGCGCTTCGTCCCCATCTTCAGCAGCCAGTGCAGAGTTTCGATACTAATGGTGCCAGTAGCCTTCTGATTAAACGTCCGCCTTGCCTTTCCTCTGATCCTCGAGCACTAACCACGTCTGCCTTATGCATCAGTATTCCACCAAGTTGTGCAGAGCCAGGCAGTCTGTCCGTCTGTTTATTTCCCAACGCACTGGCGTATCCCCGTGAAAAAATCCAGACAATACTCCTCACCCGTGTCCTCTGCAGTGAAGCATGCCACTAGCTGTTTGTTTATTACCGGGGGTGCCTAGTTGACCATGTTCTTAGTACACTTGTATCCATGGCGAGGCGCAGACGCCGTCTGAAGGTGACAGGTTCAATTCCCGGCACTGTAACTATAGCTTTCGATTTTTATGCTGTCTAGTTTGTTCTTCAATCTTTCTAATTCTTTCTATGAGTGCTGATAAATACACTTTCTGTTACTTGATTAATTATTACCACATATACCGGAACTCATGACCACTGAATCCAGCAGCGGCCAGGTTTCATTGAAGTTGAAGCCAGCTAATAAAGTTAGCACTACCCCGTGTGGGTTCCGGGGCCCCACTGTGGGGGGAAACAAGAATAGACCAACTGCCTCCCCAACAAGCATGTCGTAGAAGTCAACTAACTGGGGACTTTCTTCAAAGTCGGAGTGCGTCTACCTGAGTGGCAAGGAGAAACCAACCGCACACCAGTAAGGCAGTTTTTTTTTTTAACGTATCCAGAAACCATGAGTTGTAAACCCTTTGGCTCGGTACTATGGATATCGCAACCCTTCGGCATTGATCCCATTATAGGTACCGTTAATCTGGGAGAAATGTGGCTTTTCTGCCTACCCCCGGGAGTGAACCCGGACCACAAGGAGTTCGTCACCCGGCCGCCGCGAAAGTCAGGTTTAACCAACTTCGCTAGAGAGCCGGGCAAACCAGTAAGCCAGTAAGACGGATTTACACACAAAACTCAAGTCCTGGCACAAAGTCAAAGTTCAAATGGACGAACAAGCAGGACTTTCCCCTGGAGTTTACAGTTGCGGTGGAGTCACCGCGGCCGAGCGGTTAGACGCTCGCCGCGGATCGGAAGGTCGTGGGTTCACTCCCTGGTAGAGCAGGACTTTTTTCAAAAATGACCTTGGCTCCCAGGTCGACCCAGCCTTGAGTGGGTACCGGGTGCAGTTCCGGGAAAGTAAAGGTGGCCGACGTGATGCTGACCACATCACCCATCTCATGCCGACTGGTCTATAAAAATATAGGTCTAGCCCAATATGCCCTATACGCCTAAAGGCGTGGAAAGGGTCTTTACTTTACTTTTTTACTTTATTACAGTTGCGAACAAAGAAGAAGAAATGAGCGCTACCACAATTTGGAACTGACGCAGCGACATTTATTAGCTGAGTTTCCTGACAATGACAAATGAGCCCGGCCAAGGATCACGTGATGCTGTGAACAATGCAAATTTAGCCCAAAATAGAGGCAGACTGGCATGATGGATTGTCTGTTTCAAGGTGGACCGGGGGATGTGTGTCCTCATTAATTATGCTTGCTTATTGTTCTTCGTACAATATTCTCTACACGCCCGGGAAAAGGGCAGGATCCGTGTCTATGTTTTAGTACAGGATGCACAAAAATAGACTGTGCAGTTGTGCTTTTTTTTTTTTTAATCTTACAATCTCAGCGCCAGCCTCACCCTCAAAAGACGTGAACATCAGTACTTCGGACATACGAACTAATCCTCAGTCTCATGTAAATTTTTTTAGGTTAACCAATCTACCAACCACCCAACCAGTCGCACCGCCACTAACAAACTTTGGGAGATTGAGTCTCAGCCACTTTCTAATTTCCTAGGAAAACAAGAGGCCTAAGCCTGGTTTAAGTGCGTAAAAATAATAGGTATTATTATTATTATTAATATTATTATTATTCGATTAGTGTGTGCTGAATGAGTATGTGCTGAATGAGTATGTGCAGAATGACATACGAGTTAACTCTCAGTAGTTTTTGGGATTCATCGGTTAACCAATCCACCAACCACCCAAACAGGCGCACCGCCACCAAGAAAACTTTTTTTTTGGGGGGGGGGGAATCCTCTGTCAGCTTATAACTTCCTAGAACACCAAGATCCCTAAGCCTGGTTTTAGTGCATACTAATAATAGTTATTATTATTATTATTATTATTATTATTATTATTATTATTATATGATTATTGTGTGCTGAATGAAACACGAGCAAAACCTCAGACGCATGTAGGAATCATCGGTTAACCAATCCACCAACCACCCAAACAGGTGCACCGCCGCCTAGAAAATTTGGGAAGGGGACCTCAGCCAGCTTATAATTTCCTAGAGGATAACAAGGCCTAAGCCTTATTTAAGTGCATAATAATAGTTATTGTTATAATTATGTGCTGAATAAGCGGAGTCCGTGGGTAAGGCGTTGCGAGCCTGACTCGTAATCCAACGTAACGCGATCGAAACCTGCGTGGGCTGCGTGGATTTTTAATCATGGTATGGGACGTCGCAGGTCGACCCAGCCTCAAATGGGTACCAGGATGGGCTGTCCTGGGAAAGTAAAGACGGCCGGCGTAATGCTGACCATATTACCCACCGATTGCCGATTGGTCTGTAAAAATATGGGTGCTCTTCTCATATGCCCAATGCGCCTAAGGGCGTGTAAAGGATCTTTACTTTCTACTTTACTTGTGTGCTGAATAGCACATTAACATAATAATATATTTAAAATATTACTAAATATATAAAAACATACTGAAAAAAAGAGAACGTCTACACATGGGGTGAACCAGTTTGTGTCCTTGCAAATTTTCTAGGGATGGGAGCTCGTGGTGCCTGAGCTCCTTAATTTCTGGCGCCAAAGGGTCTAGCCTAGCAGCGAACAGGGTTTGAAAAGCAAAGCAACATTGCTGTTACTCCTCTCTACTTTCACCCACACCGATCAACAGCTGTGTAGTTATTTCCCATGCTAATTCCTACAGACAGAACTCAAACCTCTCTGTCAGTAAGTGAATGCTCTAACTGCGTCACTTCAGCTCATCGCCTACTCTTTAAAAGACGACACCGCGTTTGTCTTGGCTGTAATAAATTACAATGTCAGGGGCAGATATCTGTTTGTGTAAGTGATGTAATGGCTAGCTTGTCCTGACGGTGAAACTCGGTGGTTCTTAAACCTAGATATAAGCAATTTTTGAAACAATACAGATTACATATCGGTCTTACATAAAATAACAAATATATATACTGTGAAGACTCGATGAACACAATATATCCAAATTTCAACTCTGAGAGTTGATCAAGATATTTTTGAATAAAATACTAACTATACGAATTATTCGCCCCCCCCCCCCCCCCCACCCAACTCCTTCCCTTTGCAGGCTGAAATGTTTCGTTATTCTGAAGCCTTACTCTGGCTGTAGCCTGGGGCCGCAGTATAGCCTGACGGTTGAATGGGGTTTCCCGACCTCTCCACAGGTGATCCTCATCCGCATGGTGGCACTTTGTGTGATGTCCTGGTGGGGTAAAACTTACTATACGAACATGACGAGAGTGAAAACATTGTATACCGATAATTATATAGCTTAATAGAAACAGAATAAAAAATGACAGAGTGGACGTTGGTGAAACAAAATCTTCATCAGCAATAAAAAAAAAATAACACAGCAGAGGCAGAATGATCCTAATGAAACGAGTGTATTATTTTCTGATGATGATGACGATGCTGAGGTGCTACTTGTACGTCAAGTAGGGCTGGCAGTCAACCCCTCTATTCTGTTCTGTTCTTTCCCATAACGTGGGTGGAATTCAGTCTGGGACCTACGTTCTTCCTGTTCAACCTCTGTGGCCGGTTTGGTATAATATATATATATATATATATATATATATATATATATATATATATATATATATATAATATATATATATATATATACGTGCAGAACTCATGGCAAACCCAAGAAATGGTTCTTCTCATCAGACATTCCTCTTATCCAGATAAAGAGTTCAAGCAAGAAACATTGCCGGGGATAAACACATTGTTCCTCACAAAATAATTTCGCCACACCCGATATCGCCTTAAGCGGTCGGCACTATATATATATATATATATATATATATATATATATATATATATATATATATATTATATGTGTGTGTGTGTGTGTGTGTGTGTGTGTGTGTGTGTGTGTGTGTGTTTTACGTTCATACCCGTTTCTTCTTCCATTTTTTTAAAGATTTACAGATGAAAGGATTGTCGCGCAACGTCCACTAAGTTATTTAAATTTAAACTTTCTTGGGAACCTGCTCTTGGAAAGCTATCTTGGAAAGTTAACTTTTGTCGCTTCCTGTCTGTCATTTATTCATTGCATTGTTACGTTTTTACAGCAGTTATGGTGACATCACTTCACCAAAGTAATAATACAGTTGCAGCTTAGCCTATACTGCATCAAGAGCTTCTACATCGACACGGAAGGACAGTAGTCAATGCTGCTCATCAAGCAATATATCGCCAACTGTTCCTTTACACAACGCTTAACAGCAGAAGTGGAAACTGGTGATGATGATGATGATGATGATGAACATTTTTCACAATTTCCTTTTTTCTAGTTAACTTATCTAATCATCAGTTAATGCATATTCAAGAGTATATAACTACTTCTTCTAGCCAGGCCAGCAGATTACACAATTTAAGAATCTTTGGCTTAGCTAAACTCTAGTCTCTAGTTTTTTAAAGTAATATGTCCATGTCCTGTCTTCTTTAGCCAGCCCGTCGTTACAGTTCATGTTTGTGCTGACATGGTCGTTGGATGTTCTTTAATCAGCACAACAGTGATTCGCTGAAGGAGTTCTAAGCACGGGTGTAGGGCGCTATGTCAATGTTCTTTCTGAGAGGAGTCACTATCGTTTGATGCCAGTGAAAGTACTGCTGCTGTAATAGCACAGAGAGTTGTCATTTCCTGCGATTTCTAATTCATTTCAAAGGTGATTATTATTATTATTATTTTTAAATAATTGTCTTTCCCTATACTGCTAATATGGAGCCGACAGAGCACAAAGAAAAGGGTGAGTCATAAATCTGCGCGAAGAAAAAAAAAATGGAAACAGTAAACGAGAATTCTTCTTCTTCTTCTTCTTCTTCTTCTTCTTCTTCTTCTTCTTCTTCTTCTTCTTCTTCTTCTTCTTCTTCTTCTTCTTCTTCTTTTTCTTCTTTTTCTTCTTCTTCTTCTTCTTCTTCTTCTTTTCCTTCTTCTTCTTTTTCTTCTTCTTCTTCTTCTTCTTCTTCTTCTTCTTCTTCTTCTTCTTCTTCTTCTTCTTCTTCTTCTTCTTCTTCTTCTTCTTCTTCTTCTTCTTCTTCTTCTTCTTCTTCTTTCGTTCGCTTGAAATAGATTTTCTATATCTGCAATTCTTTCTCTAGTCTTGTGTAATTTCATCAGCGACCCGTAAAGTTTGGCTTTTACCGGTGTTTCTCGTGGCCAAAAGTTTTACCTTGATATGTTGTACCTGGGACAGTGAATGAGAAGCAAGAAAGAAAATTTGTGGGCAAAGACACTGGGGAGGTGCAAAAGATAGCAAAGGATTGGTGGGGTGGTGGGTAAGTGCCGTGCATAAGTCGATTAAAAAGTTAGCAGGAGAATAATATTGTAATAATTACCTTAAAATGACGTCTAATGGACCATTATGCAACAAAGAGTACAAACTGTGTGTGGCGTGAGGTGTAATACTTGCACTGTGTTTTTATTCTTTCTTTATGGGGTCGCTACTGAGCCTTCAGTTGGGGAATCGACATATAAACAGATCCATATTCAGTTTAAGTGAATAGATCCGTGGGTAGATGGATGTGTATCTAAATAGATAGATATGTAAATAAGTATATAACTTAGTTCGTAAGCAGGTAAGTAGGTCTGTATCTTAGTTGCTAGGTAGGTGAGTAGGTCTATATCTTGGTTGGTAAATATGTAAGTAGTTCTATATCTTGGTTGGTATGTAGGTAAGGGTCTGTATTTTGTTTGGTAGGTATGTAAGTAAGTAGGTCTCTCTATCTTGGTTGTTAAGTAGGTAGGTGAGTAGGTCTTATCTTGGTTGGTAGGTTAGTAAGTAGGTCTGTAGCTTGGTTGGTAGGTAAGTAAGTAAGTCTATATCTGGGTTGGTAGGTAGGTAGTTAAGTAGGTCTGTATCTTGGTTGGTATGTAGGTAAGTCTGGGGGTATGCAGATAGCTAGGTTTTGAGGCGGTAAGTTTTGGTTGTTCGTTCACCTCTGGACTTTAGTTCCAGACCTGAGTGTTGGGTGCACATCCATTTTACAAATCTGGCTTTTTGTATGCCGATTTTTGGTTTCTTGCCTCTCAGGCAGATGTTCTCTGACTCGAGGAAAGCCCCTAATTAGCCGATTCTTACGACACGCTTGTTGTGGAGGCCGTATTTCTATTCTTGCTCCCCCTCCCTTATTCCTCCCGCCCCACAATGGGCCCTGGAGACCGCACGGGAATGTTCCGTTTAACAGATCATTGGGTGTTGGACGGGAAAATATGTCATTAAATCTCCCATTGAATGTGGAAATTAGCAGTGGTTAGAAGAAGAAGAAGAAAGAGAAGAAGAAGAAGAAGAAGAAGAGAAGAAGAAGAAGAAGAAGAAAGAAGAAGAAGAAGAAGAAGAAGAAGAAGAAGAAGAAGAAGAAGAAGAAGAAGAAAAGAAGAAGAAGAAGAAGAAGAAGAAAGAAGAAGAAGAAGAAGAAGAAGAAGAAGAAGAAGAAGAAGAAAGCAGAAAGAAGAAGTGAGTGAGTAAATGAGTGGATGGGTGAGTGAGTGGGTAAGTCAATGAGTGAATGGAGGGAATTAGTGCATGAGCAAGTGAGTGGGTTAGTGAGTGAATGACTGCGCGAGGGAGTGAGTGATGAGTAAATGGATGTATATGTATGAGCAAGAATTATGTTAAGTCGTTGAAGTGAAAAAAAACTGAAGGACATCGTGAAAACAAATAGTTTGAGGAGACGAGGGCGGAGGGAATTCACAAGAGAGAATGTAAGACCGTTAGCTATCACGGCATGGACGACCATCTGTATCAGAAATTATTGGCAGTACACCAGGCAGAAGGCAATTGATACACATGGCGACCAACACGCGGCATGGACTATAGGAAACAGAAATGCATTTGTGTTGCAGCTTACTATACTATTTATACATATCTTTTCCTTCTTGGCGTTCACCAGCTTTAAACTCTGGTGGACAGTTCTGGTTCTTTGTCCACTTTTTGACTTTAGTCTTGTTTCAGAACTTGAGTGTTGCGTGCACATCCGTTTTACAGACATGGCATGTTATTTACGCAGGCTGTTGGTTCCTTTCCTCTCAAGCAGATGCACTCCGAATTCGATAGAAACAATTAATTTGTTCCCTCTTTCGACATGCTTGTAAGGGAGTCAGTGAGTATATTCTTTTTTTCTTTCTTTTCCACAAACTATCCTCGAGAGCCATAGGGGACTATGTGTATATGATAAACAGAAGTGTGACATGTGTGTGAGCTGTTTTTTTACCTTGAAATTTTCTTACTGACTATAGTGGATTCGGAAGCTGAAATATTTTGGTCCTATCAAGCGCCATGATGGGTGGGAAAAAATAACAGCAGAAAGCATGGTACTAGGAAGGACTGGCAGAGGCCGACCGATACGAAGATGGGCACAGAATGTGAAATACTCATTGAATATGAAAGTACACGAGACTGGAGAGCTGGCGAGAGACCGATATTTTTTCATGCCGACCGTAATGATTGCAACGTTATGCAAAGGACCTGCTTCATAAGGTTGATGACGACTATAAACTGATTTATAAAAACAATGCTTCCACCAACAATGGTTTTACGCAAACACAGTAGCGACCACACTTCGCTAACGTCACTGCCTCTTTTGTCCAACTCAAGCGGTCATGAGATAAATTGAATAAACTTAATGACAGATCACAACCATCTTGTGCACAACGTGTGAATTGTTGTAACAATGGTTGACATGGAGTTTTGCTGGTCTACAGGTGGTAGCTGTGATGTCAGGATCGCTGTGAAATCAGGACAGGAAGTTGAGTTGACGTCACCTAATTATCCACATAACTTTCCCAGGTAAGTACCTTTAACTTCGATCACACAGGTGACAGGGTCGCCTATTGGCTGGTCGGTAGACGACTTAGTAGCCGGGCGGGACAGTATTTGGTCACAGTTATAACCTAAAGACTTAGACCAGCGGAAATTGATTGAAGTTATACATTAGCAACGAAAATAATTGTATGATGGGGGTCGCCACAACGTAAGGAGCTGTATTAAAGGGTTAGGACATTAGAAAGGTTGAGAACCACTGACCAAGACGAACTGACGACAGTAGGAAGTCGTGACTGACTAAATGGTTCGCTTGCAAAGCCACAAGACCTGTAAAAACAGGGACGGAAGGAGGACTGAAACAAAACGAGCGTACAGCTCAAGATCGGAGAGTTTGTTTCCAGGACGTGAAACTGTAAGGACTTGTGATAGCTGGACTGTTAGATTACAGCGTTTTGTGTTTAGACCATAGTTACCGATAGTATGTGTTACCACGTGTAACGTCAGAAAGTAGCTCGACTTCTGTGTTAAACAGCGCTTGACAGAGATAGGTTATGTGTTACTGGCTACGTGGGCAGCTGGTTAGTCTAGTAGCCACGGCTGGTTTGCATTGGTTGTTGTGATTGGATGTATACTCACTCACCTTGCCCCGCGCTTGGCAGACGCTCCACAATCCTGGTGTGGAGTTCAGTTACAGAGGAAAGAGCTGTATGGAAGCGGCATGGGTTCGGACCCGGGTATTATCCATGGGAACGTGCTGGCCTTGGAGTGAAAGGTGATTTGTAAAGCCCTCGCGGCCTTCGTTTCGGAGAGAAGTGCCCACGACTTCTGAGGCAAACTACCGTCTTTATATTGTCCTGTAAATTAAAGATTGTCGTGTGCTCTGTAGGTGTTTGGGTTTAGTGTGTTTAGGATAGTTTATACGTCACGGGCCAACAACGCGAGCCACATGCCGTTACGGTAGACACAAGGTCTCTGACAACGAACAACCAGGACTTCCCACCGGAGTTCACAGCCGGTGAACACGAAGAGAGGAAACAAAACATACTACAATGTTCTAGATAGAAATGTTCTATAGATAAGAAATGTTGTATAGGTAAGAAATGCTCTATAAGCAAAAGCTGTCGACGTGATATTGACCACATCACTCGTCCACAGCTGATTAGAGCCTCAAATATGGGAGCTAGCGCAGTATGTCAGTTATGCTACCAGATTGCATTTAGGATAATGTAATTTTTTTACGCCAAATTTGTGAAATAGCTCAGTAAATTCTCCTTCAACGTTCGCCCTTAAAAAAAGGCGTTTCGCACATTTTATTGCAGTTTTTTGCAGTTTACAGTTAAATTGGGCAAGCTGAGCCATTCAATGGGATTTTAGCAAATCCCGTGTTAGTCGCCTCCTACGCCTTGCTTGTTAAGGAGCAGTGGGTCTATTCTTTTGCTCCCAAAGTGGGTCCCCTGGAAAGTTTGCGAGGACGCGAAAGAAATTACCTCACTTGTGTTGTTTGGCATCAACTTAAAAATGTAGTTACAATTTGCTAATTTGACGGAGAATGAGCTAATCACAGATACACAGATATACAAGGATGGAGTATGAGCGGAACAAGATATGATGTTTCGTTTCGTGCATTTTTGATTTTATATGTGATACTATTTGTTTCCCTCCAGGAACACTTACAAAGATCGGGTTGTCCCTATCCTTGACTATATATTTGATTTTCATAAAGATAAGATCATTTCCCATTTATATATGTACATGTATGCCTGTGTTGCAGCCAGCTGCATTGTTTCTATGATTTGACAACGGAATTTACTGCCGGGGAGATCTTACGTTTGACAATTCTCGATGTGAGCTTGTCATGCGATAACCCGGACACCACTCTGGAAGTTTTTGACGGTAAGGCCGTCAACTTAGATCCAACCTTCCGTCATCCTCATGTACCTTGTCAGATGGGTTAAGCTTTCATGTCTTCTTTTACACAGCCCAGTCCCTGGTGTTCTCAATAAGGTCTACTGATATTACTTCGTGCCACCTTCTTTAAACATAGAGTATTTTTTCCTTTGTTTGCTGTCAATGAGTCGTCATGATTTTTATCCATTGCTTTACTTCTACTTACCTGACAAAAACACTGTTTGTTTCTGTTTGTAATTGCCTATAGTTTTCTGCTTTATCTCCAACCCCCCCCCCCCCATTTCCACATTTGTTTCCCTTTTCAGTAATCAATTGTCTCATATCAAAGTCTAACCATGGACAATTTAAAAACATATAATTGAAAGAGACAACAGTTGTAGAAAGATACACACATATCTAGACACAAGTGTTTTGACTAAACACTTGTGTCTTTTCCTCATCTCTTGGTTAGCTGGAATTCGTTTAGTTATCTCAGTAACTTTCGTATTCATAATTTTGTAATATCCTTATTTCCTTTCTCATTGTGCATAAACTGGTTAGTGATGAATGTTTGTAGTTTATTAGTAATTTTGTTTAGTTGTTCTCCATGTTTCAGCCCCATACAGCAGTATTTTATTTTTATGTTAGATGTGATATTTAAGTCAGGTACCATGTTTATTATTTAGCACCAGTGCTGGTACTTTGGTTGATATCGTCTGTTTAAATATTGTCTGTGGCAGCTTTTAGCACCAGCGCCATGTACCTGGGGAAAGTGTGTGTAGGCGGCCTCACCACATTTGTCAGTCCCAGGGAACGGCTGTACCTGATCTTCAAGTCCCGATCTGGAGCCAGCGGTGGAACCACAAGTAGGGGATTTAAATTGACCGTGAAGAGTTTACCAGGTAGGTTGATATCGTTATGACGGTTATATGTCCATTAACATGTCTAGGTCATGATCAATTTCGTAATCATGAGAGAAGAGAATTGATATTTTTATTCAGTTTGCAGTTATAGAAACATTTTTAGAATAGGCGGACCTTGAGAAAGAAAAGAATGCACATTCTACAAGATCTGAACATCGAAGAAAACTGAGATATATCAACATGATAGCTCGAGAAACGAAATACTTTTATCATACTACACACCGCAGTAGTTTCGGACAATTTTCGCACCATTGATGCAGTGCTCGTATAGTTCTAGGCCGATACTTTCTAGACCGATCAGCACTTAGTGGGTGATGTAGACAACATCACATCGGTCCCATTTTGTTCTCGTGTTATTTCCTATTACTTGTTTGAAGCTGGGTCGATATGGGAGCCTAAATCATTTTTTTAAAACAAAAATCCGCCTCCATGAGGATTCTAGCTCTATATCCTCAGACCTGACAGGGAAGCGTCTAGCTCCTGCACCCCCCCCCCTTCCCCCCCCCCCCCACACACACACGTTTCCCTGCAGTGTGTAAAATAAAAATAAAAATAATAGAAGGCGTGGCAACTGGAAGAAGATGCAGGGCTCGGCCAGACTGAAGTCGGACACGGGACCTTAGTTTCCGTTCATTTAAAAAATCTGCCCTGACGGAGATTCGAGCTTTTGACTGCCGGGCCGGCAAGTGAACGGTTTAGCCACTGACCTTAATCCACGACTTTATCCATGGTTTTACTTCTACTTACCTGACAAAAACACTGTTTGTTTCTGTTTGTAATTACCTATAGTGTTCTGCTTTATCTCCACCCCCCCCCCTTTTTTTCACCATTTGTTTCCCTTTTCAGTGATCAATTGTCTCATACCAAGGTCAAATCATGTGCAACAGTAGTATGCAGATCCAGTACTGTTATAATTCTAAGCATTAGTATTAAAACAGCTAGTGTTGTGTTGTTGTGTCTGTTCTATATTAACAACTTAGGGACAATTTTCAAAATAGATGGGGAAGATACAACCCCCCCCCCCCCCCCCCCCCCCCCCCCCCCCCCCAACCCCTCCCCACAAACAAAATAATAATAATGTCCTGACCATATATCATGTACGGGACTAGAACACAGACGTAATCCGTGAAAGATGATCATGTGGGATGGAGAACTATGACCGCAGAATCCTATCGGTAGGTCAAGTGATGACTCTGATGTGTGCGACATCGAAATACTAATGTGGCTAGGCAGATTTGTGTGTGTGAACAAACAGTTATATTGGAATTTTCTTTCCTCCACAGAGTTCACTCACTGCTACAGTGAGAAAGCCCTGGTAATGCCGGTATCCTTACAACCACAACAATTCATTTCACCTTACTACCCGCTGCAAGTGGCGCCGTAAGTAAAGGCCTGGCTGGTCATTTCCTGGCACATAATAGTTACATTTTACATTTGTGAAGATTTAAAATGTGTATTCGTCACTACTAGAATGTTGGATCTAGCAATATTCGCGAATCAAGTATAACAAAGAACTGCTTCGTCAGGACAAAGACACGTATCACATATCGGAACAAGATGGCGAAGTAAAAAACTAATGAGAATGAAGCCCGTGAGGCCGACAGCGAGAGCTTGCCACATAAATGTGGAAACACCAAGAAGCAGGGGAAGACCTAGAGGAAATAGATTAAAAGAATCACCGACAGCAGAGAGTTTCACAGCGTCACAGTATACCAAACAACTTAGCACGCCCCGGCTCTTCTGTCTGTCAACTGTTGAACTGTAAACGCTTAACGGCACAAATCAGATACATAACAGACCGCTTTAGGCGACCTAGGGTGGGTGCATTTCTGTTGTGAAGAACCATGTGTTTATCCTCGGCAAATTTTCTTGCTTGAAATCTATCCGGATAAGAGGAACTTCCCATGAAAAGAAATGAGAAATGTTTCTGGGGTACCCGGTGAGTTCTTCTTATCCCGTTTGCACTGTACTGACAACAGAAGAAGAAAGAAGTAAGAATTCGCATATATATTCTCATGTCTCCTGTTTTTTAACTTCCAGTGCAGCATACACCGCAAGCCAGCTGACTTAAAAGTTTAGCAGGGGATTTTTGAAGTACTACAAAAGGATTGTATAATGACCTCTAAATGAGCCAGACGTTTTGCCCAACTATGTTTTGCCTGTCCACAAAAGGCGAGAAAACTGGGGATTCATCTAAAGACGTTACAATCCCGTTAAAGTCCCTCGCCAGTTGGAGATAGCAGAGTAGGCACAATCTTACCGACTGCTGCATTCACTAGTAGTGCTCACTCACAGACTTCTCCGCCAATAAATTATTAGATATTACGGAGGGATTTTTTATCTAGAAAATTGTCAGAATATATTTCCCTGCTTACCCATCAATAAATTACCATAAAGTACTTGGTGATAAATTGTTGCATGACAAGCTGGATGTTGTAAGGTCTCTTTGGTGACGAGACAATAGTGTGGAAGCACACAGAGATCATAATGTTTCATGGTCTGAAGACAATAGTACAGCCAGGAGTGGCCAGGGGATCTGCAAGACGCTCATCCTCCAGAAAGGAGGCGAGACAGCCATAAAATCAGACTGGTACTGGTAGCATCGGAATTGGAAATCTGCGCTGGCTGCTAGAGATGGGGAAGGGGAGTTCATGGGAATGTAGCCAGTGCTAAGATGTCAGTTCTTAACTCGTAACCCATAAAGCACGCACATTTTTATCGATCAATAAACTATTGGAATTCACTCACATGTGTATTATATCCCGGGATACTCGGGTTCGACTCACAGTAAGATGATGACGGTTTTTATCAGTCGGGGGCCAGATTAAACATGGTAACCTTCACAGTCCGTGGCGACAGCACTAGCCATGCGGTCTAAAACCCTCAGTCTCACGCCCCCCCCCCCACCCAACCGTTTACACCGCCGTAAATAAAGGTGGTAAATACAGACAGTAGTAATAGTTAACATTGTAGACAGTTAACAAAAATGATCAGAATCCACTTACATGTTTATGTTATCTATTGTAAAAAACTTACAGGAATGTCCACTGTCGGTGGTTGCTGAAGGCTCCACTAGGTCACAGAATTCACCTGGACATCCTGCACGCTGACATGAAGGGTTCAGACGACTGTGTGAACTTTGGCCTGTATATCTACGATGGTGAGTTAAACTGAGTTTAGAGCCGATATCACAGCACTTGGAACATTACCATAGGTGGTTCGCCCCCATCTCCAGCAGCCAGCGCAGATTTTAGCGATACCTAAGTTTTATTATTTGTTCTTCTTTCTTCTAACCTGGGTGTCTACCAAATCCTCTAGTCACTCGTCGCTTATTTGTTTTTTCTCCAGACTTGCTAACATTTTCTTTTTTCGCTTTGCTGGAGTTTTTTTTCAAAGGGCATTGACCAAATCTACTCTGTCATGCAATTATCCACTATCAAATGTCAAGCTAGACGTGCTGAGGAATGTCCAGCCTTCATGTGTGTAAGGCCCGAGAAATCATAGCCAGGGAAACAGGAATTTTATATTTGACCTAAGATTAGAGGCTCTTTTTTCATCTGACAATTGCGCATTTAAGTTAGTTATTTATGATCATTTATTGATGGTTAAGCAGAGAAATGAATTCTGAAAATTTTCTAGAAATAAATCTAATAATAATTTTTTTTGCTGGAGCATGGTGTACGTATTCAGATGGTCAGAGGAAAAACATTCCTTGCTGATGCTTAAAATACTATCGCTTTTTTGCAATTAGATTTCAACGTCCAACATTAAAGACTGATTCCCTCATGAATCCAGTAGCTAGCAGGATGTCGTGGGTAGCCTGTAGTTTCCATTTGATCTTTCATCTCATGTGGTCAGGTTTCAGATGCGCAAAGAAACATCACGTCTGCGGTATTTGTTATGGTGTCCGAGTAGCTTTTTGTAGCTAGGGTGGCTTTCATTTTAGAAAAATGCTCTTCCAGCCGCTTTTGTTTGATAGTTGTCATTTTCTTCTTCCTCTTCCTTTTTCGGCCTTTCATCTTCTTATTTAATTTAAGCTATAAATCAAACTTTATAAGAATAAAATGTCAAACATTTAATTGGCCACCATTCTGCGTGTAATAAATCTCGAACATTCCACTGGTCAACAGGAAAGACGAGCTACGACGACGAGAAGCTGGCCGCTGTGTGCTCCAACAGCAGCAGATCGTTCTGCAGCACCAGCAGCTACCTCATGGTTGTATTCACGTCCACTGCTCACGTGCTGCACTCTGGTGGCGGAGTCAAGCTGAGATACTACTCCTCTGTTGCAGGTAGAGATTGACTCCTTAGTGATTAGAAAGGATTTTCATCCCAGCACTTCGGACAGATCCATAGGTGCTCCGATCTCCTCCTCATAAGCTCCACAAGTGTAAAACGACTGATGAAGTCTGTTCTGTGTTGGTTATTGAAACTTCTTGTTCCCTTAGTGAAATTTTCATTTCTTGCGGCTCCAGGCTGCACCCCCATGTCCATCAGTCTAGACAGTGATACGAAGTCATTTCCTTTGACGTTCTCCTCTGCAAGTGCAGCGCATGCAATTGATAACATCTCTTTTGTTTAGTACTGGACCAGCCATAGCAACTGACTCTTTTATTCGGCCAAATGTAAATAATTGGTAAAAATAAAAGGGAAGCTCCCATTTCCACGTCTTTGGGCGTACTGGGATTATAGAGTTAGAGCTATATTTTTATAGACCAATCGGCACTTGGTGGATGATGTGGTCAGCATCATGCCGGCCGCCTTTACTTTCAGGACTGCACCTGGTACCCATTCAAGGCTGAGTCTACGTAGAGGTCAAGGTCATTTTCGAAACATGTCTGGCTTCGTCAGGACGCGAACCCACGTTATTCCGATCCGCAGGCGGGCGTCTAATCGCCAACGCCGCGGCGACTCTCAATGTAAATATTTGGGAAGCGTTAACTGTTTTTGAGTTCCAAGCAGTTGTTAGCTTAGCCCCTTATATTGCACGTTGAGCTTATAAACAATAAATACTTCAGTATGAAGAAACCCACACTAGTAAAGACGTAGTTAAAGTAATAATTCAAACACAAGAGGTTAATATAACTTTTGCTTGAGATAGAAGACAGCAATATGTTCCAATGACCAATGAATATATCGGAAGATTTTTGATTTTTAAGGGGTTTAGTACAGGTCAACTCTTCGGATAGTCCCGATTCTGAATGTGGAAAACCCGCAAGCATACAGTGATATTTATTCCCTGGGTGGATACATTGTATACTGAAATATAGGTCATCTACGGGGAATGCTCAACAAAATTGTAAAAATCGCTTGAGCATTGTGAAGAAGGGAAGCAGAACCCTCAGCCCCCCCCCCCCCCCACTCAATCCCCAAAGTGGTCTCTATCAACTTGTAATTTGGTACTGGGTTGGAGGAAATGCTTCAGCAACTAATCGACCAATCGATCAATTTGTCCCATTCGGGATGTAACAGTAGAACATGGGGGGGGGGGGGGGGGGGGGGGCAAGAGGAAGACCAAGAAAGGTATGGATGAATGGTGTAGCTGGAACCTGAAAGAAAGATTTTAAAAAAATCCATCACTAAAGCCACCCGAGAAGCATAAGACAAATACAGAAAACCACAACACTGGGTATCAGTGAGATGACAAAAGAAGAAAGGCTGTTGCCAAAAGGTTTACTATACCATCCTGACATTTACAAATCTCAGTTCTGGACGGCAAACCAACAGTGTAGATTCCAGAGATTCCCTTCAACGTCCAAAGAAGTTGTGGTTAGGGTATCCGTAACGACGAAACCAGCCAGGAGTAACCAGCTGTCCTATGCGGGTAAGAAGGATTCAGCAGCTGGCAGACACAAGCTCTTTGATACCTTAGTCATCCCTATATGGGATGCAGTTTTTTCGATATTTTGAACCCCTACCCTGGTTCTTGCCAGGAGCCGCAATAGAGCCCGGCCATTAATATGACCTAATGGCTAAACGCGTGTTCTGGGACCTCTTCACGGGTGATCCTCATCTACATGGTGGCACTTTGTGTCATCGCGTGTTTACTGCTTGTGTAATGTCCCGGTGGCGTAAAAGTACTACTACTGGCCCTTTTATTACCAGGGGAACTCACAGCCCAAATTTAATCAATCATTCACTCAAACTCTGTGGATTTTGGAGCCCCATTGTGGGGAAAACAAAAATAATCTCCCTGTCCAACAAGCACGTCGTAGAAGTCGACTAACTGGGCGTTTTCTTTGAAGTCGGAGTGCATCTGCCTGAGAGGCAAGGAACCAACAGTCTGCATAAGTAAAATCTGTAAAGCGGATCTACACGCAACACTCAGGTTCTGGAACAAGTCTAAAGTACAGAGGTGATTGACCAGCCAGAACTTTCCACCGGAATTTACAGCTGGTGAACGCCAAATAGAAGAAGATGCAATCACACGAATTACAATTGTCCTTAAATGAAAACTTGTTGGTTTTAACTATCCAGTCATTTTCAGTTACCTTCCATGTTTCTGTTGCAGGAGCCAGTGCTACCAAAGCTGATTCCAGCCTGTTGTTTATTTTAGTTGGAGTCTTGCTGGGCCTGGCTACATTCACCATTGTTATGGTTATCCTGAGGTAGGTAACTTTTCATGGCTTTGAGAAAGTCAGTCATCGATACTATCTCCCTTCTTGCTGTCAAGTAAAGGTTACCTTTTCACGCCTCTAGGCGCATTGGGCATATAGGAAAAGCCCTATATTTTTACAGACCAATCAGCACTAAGTGGGTAATGTGGTCAGCATTACGTCTGCCGTCTTTACTTCCCCAAGACATACATCCTGTCACCCATTTTAGGCCGGGTCGACCTGCGACAACCCATACGACGAAAAAAATCCACGCAGCCAGCAGTGGGTTTCGATCGCGGTACGTTGGAAATACGAGTCGGACTCGCAACGCCTAAGCCACGGACGCCACCTCTTACTGTCAAGATCCCTAGGGAAATTGTAGTTAGTGGTCCAGCAGTTCGTAATGCCGGGGTGCCGGGTTCGCTCCCAGCTGCGGTTCATGCGCCTTGCGTTGGTTTCGACAGTGGTATCAGGGAGCCGACCGTACAGTAAGCAATGGCAAACTACTAGACGTAAATTTGCCTAAGGAAACCACACAACAGCCAGGGCTGCTGGGGTTGGTTCTGCAACGTCCTGCAAAGGATACGTCATTCCTATAAATAAACAGAGGGGGGAAACCTTTTGAGGCCGTTAAATATTATGAATTAATCAAGTAACAGAAAGTATTATGATCGGCACATACGTAACTAACCTGGTCCAGCAGTTGATGGGTGGTACTAGCTAAACTGTCTTTCCGCGTGAATGTACAATCATTGTAACAATGTCCCTAAAGTTGCCATCCCATCTTCTTTTTGCGCCCACGCTTGCTTTATTTTCAGCTTAATCAGTCAATACCACTAGTATCAACAGTTATGAGTCAGGGAAGATGACGTTATAATGGACACATTCTGAGAAGAGACAATCACCAAACAGGTACTGAAATGGAAAACAGAGGGACCGAGAAAACGGGGACTTTCAAGGAAAAAAATACACACTTAGGCGAACGTTGACGAGAGAAGCCAATAGTGCTGGACTGGATTGCATTCATTATATCGAAGTGATTGCACATGATAGAACGTAATGGAGAAGTGTTGAGTTGTATCAAGAATTGACATCACAGCATTCGGGACATTCCCATGCATGCTCCATCCTAATCTTCAGCAGACAGAGCAGAGTTCCAGTAGTGATGGTACCGGTCACAGTATGGTTATATGTCCATCTTGCCTTTGCTCAGAGTGCAGTGAGCCGGCCAGATCCTCTGGTTACAACCAGGTACATCATTCTCTCCAGGCCATAATAATCTCCTTTCTCAACTGATTCCGTTGCTTGTTCCCAAATGGCCTTGACAAAAGGAATAGAGAAATAGACCGAAAGCACAGTGTGACATATAATGGCACATATGGCAGTGGAATATGAAGAGAAAAAAGTCAATCAATAAAGAACTAAAAATGAATATAGAGCTCTTTTCCGTGTCATTATACTTCTGTGATGTATGGCACTAGTCTTGGTTGTTTTTGTTTTTGTTTAATTTTTTTTAAATTAGACCAAAAAAAAAAAAAAAAAAAAAAAAAAAATAGAGCAGAAGGCCCGACCAACACGAAGATGGGCACAGGATATAAGTGACTCCATGAGTATGAAAGTACACGAGGCGGGAGAGCTAGCGAGAGACCGAGTTTCTTTCAGGCAGACCGTGATGAGAGCGACGATCTGCAAAGGACCTGCCACATGATGATGATTATGATGCGACGAATAACATAGGAAATGTGTCAGTATCGCGTCATCAGATTTCCTGGGACAGTTCCCGGTGTTCACCTTTACTTTAGCTCCACTCAGATTTGCGGTATTTATGATGAAATCAAGGTCGAGGTGTTGCGATATCCATAGTACATAGCCAAAGGGTTTACATCCATGGTTTCTGGATACCTAGAAACAATTTTGTATCAACATCATCAAATGATCATGAGATTCATCAGCATCTTTTTTTTCGACATCTTTCCATATTCATCGATAAACAAACCATCTTCCATAACCAAACACATGTGTCTATATCGACCGTTTAGTTGACTAACATTTCCATACTCTTCTTTGTGGCGCAGGTTTATCATCATCCCAGCACGAATGCAAGCTTTAGCCAGACGATATCAGCCCAACTCTGCAAACTCCACTACAGGTCCCAGGAATGGGCCAGGTATATCAGTACCCAATGACCCTCCCCCGCCCTATGAAGCTACGGATTTAAGCAGTCGCCGACAGAAAGTTTACCCCATGTGGACATCCTTATGTGGCTGCTGTCTCCGAGGTGACAAAACAGACATGGGGCATAGTTCTCGGAATACTGGATATAATAGCGATGGCACTTTTGTTCTTGGAAATGTACCGAATACACCAGGTCACCCAGCGATCCTTTCCGAGCGGACTGGGAACTCTATACCTCAACTTCCACAGTACTTAGAGTCTGGCACAAGTTCAGCATATCATCAAGAGGCTATTCGAACGATACACGCCACTAACACATTGGCACATTCTAACGAATACCAGGAGTTACCTGGCCCTGTATGTAGGGATAGATCTTCTCCTTCTGAAGTTAATGATAACGTTGTCAATGATTTAATTCGGAGCAGGAATATGGGCGGACACACAGCCAGGTATAGTAGGGCAGACAGCGGTTATCAAGAAAGCCTATCCGAAGAGAACAGTAGTTCTGGCAGTC